CTTGAATCAAATTTCCAGGACTTGAAAACTGCCATTGGGAGGCACAGAGAGGAGGAGAATCCTGCCCTTTGGGTACAAATGGAGGGAGAAAAAAATTATTTGTGGGGGCTGAGCATGTGTGTGCATGTGCACCCCCCTGCAGGTAAGCCTGTGGGGGAAAGGGCAAGGGAAGGTGAAAGGGCTATGGAGTGGGAAGAGAGTAGGGCTGGGACAGACCCTGCACAGCCGGGGTGGGCACGAGATGGAGCCACAAGCAGCTTGTTTGGCGGGGGGGCAGGGAGGGGGTGGCGGCTCCCGCCACTGCACACAGCTTGGCAGGCATGGGAGGGGGGCATATACCCCTGGATCTGCGCAGGGCAGGGTGGCCTGCTGTTGCGGGCTAGGGCTGTGCTGGGCTCTTCCTGGCAGGGGCTGGGCTGTGCTGCACTTGGGGCAGTGGCAGTGGTGCTGGAGATGCTACGGCGAATTTTGGGGTGGCTGCAGCTCCCCCCCATCCCCCATAGCCCCCTCCTAGTGATGCTGCCACCCGCCTTGAATGCAGTGCGGCCCAGCCCCCCCGCCAGGAAGAGCTTGGCACAGCCCCAGTCCCAGCCCACCACAACAGGCTGCCCTGCCCCACGCAGATCTGCGGGCACACAACCCCTGGGCCTCCCAGGGTGTGTGTAGCAGCAGGAGCTGTGCCCCCTGGACAAGCCGTTCATGGCTCAGCCCTGCGTCCTGCCCTGGCTGTGCAGCGCCTGCCCCTCCTCCAGCCCCACTCTCTTCCTCCCCAGCCCGCTGCAGCCGCCAAAAGCCTGCAGCCGGGCTGCCTTGTGGCCCTACCACTGTCCCGCATTTGGGGGGGGGGCTAAGCCGTGTTACCTGCCCCACCCCCCCACCTTCTCTGGCTTATAAAGTGTACTTCAATTCTTCTAGGACAGCAGTTCCCAAACTGGAAACTGTAGGTCGTGACCCAAAAAGGGGTGGCAACATCAGTGGACTGGATGGGAGTGAGGGGCCACCCTGAGGACATGGGGCCAGAAACGGGGTCCTGCTGAGGCAAAGGTCAGCAGCATGGCTGCTCTGAGCCAGGAGCCACTTCCCCGCGAGCTGCGGGAAGAGCATCAGGGTCGGATCCCAGGCGGGCTTGTGCCCTGGCTCCCGCAGCGCAGCTGGCTGGACTCACTCGCACCCGCGGCGCGCTCAGGCGCGGGCGGGGGGGCGAGGGGACCAGTCAGCCGCCCTCCT